GTAGCTTTAAGGATTCATCTATATTTAATTTAGAATTTAGTGTTTGATAACTATTCAGTTTCTGTATATTTCCTACTAGCTGAAGGGCAGCTAAATATGACATTTATTATAATGGGTTTATGTGAAGATTGTTTTAAGTTCATTTAAATTATTATTTTTTTCTAATAAATGTTAAAATTGATTGCTCTCAATTATACTGTAATGTTGAATGGCTATAGTTAATGGTTAAATATTAGAAGAAAAAAAACTTTCATTGAGACATCAGTAGTATTTGTATCAGTGATACTCCCCTTCAGTCATAAAAAAAATTATATTAAACAAATATTTAAAATATACGGTCTTTGTTGTTTATACATTAATTTGAAGAATGTGAAAATATTGCAATATAAAAGTATATTTAAAAAATTAATGTTAAAGGTGGGATTAATCGCAATTAATTTCAGAAAAAATTGTTCGTTTAATTAGTTCATTTATTTTAATCGATTGACAGCACTAATGTTTTACTTGACTGTTATAAACATGACTGTTCTTTTTAAAAAGATTTGCATGAAATGGTACCTCCGAAAATTTTGAGCAGCAAATAATCTGAAGCAGTAGACTTTATGTAATGAACCGAATAATTTTCATATGGAACAAATGTGAATACCGTGGTTATTGAAGATGATTGTCACTCAATGGAACCTTGTAGCATTTTCTTTTACATTGTGCCTTAAGGTTGTCCTCCTCTTCTAAAGAGTCATTTCATTATTTTCCAGTATCATGGCTCTGTATTTCCACATTCAGTTTAAGATCCAAGAAATTAAACAGCATCGTTTTCAATTTTATGTTTATGATATGGACCCCATTCCTAACCTGTGAGTGTTTTTTTTCCTAGAACAACCATCAATGCAATCATCCAGATCTAACCTTTAGAAAGTTGCAACTCCTCTTGCAAAACCCTTTGAATGTAACCATCATCCTGCTTTATACCTGCAGAGGAAAAAGTGCTTATGGGAAAGACTTGAGTGTTATTTTGTTCTGGAATATCTAAGCAGTGTCAGACCTGAGTTTATTTTAGTCTCCAGCATGACCCTGCTGTGTCAATGAATCATGCTGTGAATTTCCAATCATAATTCCCCAAAAAACTCTACCAGATTGGACAGACACATAGATGGCCATTCACTGGAAGGTCTGGACATGGTGTGAAGCACACACCAGAAAGGTCATTGTTCATAAACAAGCCAGAATGAGCGTCTGAATACAGTTACACACAGACATGTACACGCTCTCTGGTTCTACATTCTGTCGGCCAGACGCAGAGCACAATGAAGGCTTTGTGAATTCAGACTGAAAATTAGAAAGGAAGTTAATATGGTTTAGTTTAAAGCAGTGGTTTTCAAACCGGTCCTGCGAGCACCCCCGGCACTGCACATTTTCTGTGTCTCCCTCATCTAATCACACCTGATTCAACTCATCAGCTCATTAGTAGAGACTGCAAGACCTGAAATGGGTGTGTCAGATATAGGGAGACGTACAAAATGTAAGGTGCTAGGGGTGCTTGCAGGACTGGTTTGAAAACCACTGGTTTAAAGAATCAAAAAACAAAACATGAAAGATTTAACCACTAGTATTAATAGAAGACCCCACATCAAATCCCCCTACTTCTTGACATGTGCTGATCTGAATTAAATTTTGATTTTCCAAACCACACCTGATTCAGCTGTCCCAAAGTCTGGTGTTCAAGCAGGTCAGGTGTATGATCTCATATAGTGATTCTCCTGAAGCGAGGTTGGAAGTGTACTTACCTTGGTCCAACCCTACCAAATGCCTGTTGTTTTGTGGGTTTTGGTTTGATTGTAGTTCTGTGACCAAACATGGACCAAGCATGTCTTGTCATCACTCTATCCTGGCTTCTCAGCTGAGAGTTTTAAACCCCAAATCAGCTTGTAGCAATTACCAGCAAATTGAAAACGTGTGTCGCCGTGACTTTGTAACGATACATGTTGCTCCCATTGTTAGTGTACTTCTCTAGCAAGCCAGGGGTTGTTCCCATCAAAAATTTGATGCTAAAGCAAAAATGTAAAGGCATGAGCTCTCTTGCCAAGGAGAGAAGGACGGAATGAAAGAGAAACTTATCTGAAAATTAAGAAAAGGAGGAGGAAAAAATGAAGAAAACTGAAGAAATCTTCTATTTTTAATATTTGCCTATTGATACAGTATATTGACAGACAGAAATGTAAAGGCATGAGTTCTCTTGCCATGAACATAGAGATGGCTGAACAACTGAAGAAATCAATTTTTTGAAGAAACGTGTTTTAACATGTAACTCATGTCACCTTGCACGTCTCTTGCAGAGGTCAACTTCATTATAATAATTGTGTTGTCATCTGCACTTAACAAAAAGATCCGGCCAGCATTTGAAACCTAAATCTGCTCAGAGTCTGTGTGAACATCAGGCATGTGATTTTCCAAATGTCACAGCCTTTTGTTACCAAATGTAGTCCAAATCTGCTTGATGTCCTTGGATTTTTGAGTCCATTCAGCAAGACTTTTGTCTGTTTCATCCATGAAAAAGGGCAGATGGAAATGGAAACATCAGTGCTCATCAAGAATGTTGTGGAGAAGAGCGATGGCTAGCTCAGGGCAGTCTCAGTAGTGATCATGGATGTCTCAGACTGTTCTCCACTGAGAACACTGAGAAAGCCCAAGAATCCTGAAAGCATCTCCATGTCCTCCAAATATATGCTCCCAGGCGTACTCACAGACATTGTGGTTGGAAATGAGGATTCCTGGGAGGGTTGAAAGGAATCCATTGTTCTGCATCAGGATAGATAAGACAAAGAGGCTAAGTGGAGTCACATAGATATTTGTAGAAAAGGGAATGGTGGAGAAATGAATATTAAGGTAAGATGGCAGAGAAGCATATAGTTCCGTCACAGGTCACATCATACAACACCTGACTAGGTCAGTGGTCAGTGCTCACCAAATCTACCAAATTTGGTGTAGAAACAATTTTCACTCAGAAATTGCTAGTAAATTGCACAAATAATTACAAAAGAAATTACCTGTAACACATTGAATTATGAAATTTTGAAGTAGAAAGACCAAATAGTTTTTTCTTGTAAAACATACTCCACTAAGCTTTATGTACATCTGAAAATTAAAAAAGGAGGAGGAAAAAAATAAGAACTTATAAGTAAGAAACAGTTTCTTCTATTGTATCTTTGAATGTCTCTGTAACTTCTATTGAACTTTGACTTTGCTTTTTATATTTAATGGAGTAATCATCATCATCATCATACTTAATCAATGCTGAAATTCAGATCAAGGGAAAAGGAAGTGACCCCATTAGTGATCTCTAATGAGAAACCAGAACGTGATAGCATACACACGCTTTCTTGTGGACCAGGTCGTCAATATGTTCCTCCCTTGAGTTATTCTGCTTTCACTTACACCATGGATCAATATCACTAAATATTTATTAAGCTCTATTCAAAGAAAATCTGTGAATGTCCATATGAAAGACATATTGAGATTAAGGCATTATCCTTTCATGCAAAGTATCACTAGTCACATCTAATTGACACAACTTCCAGAATGCTGTTAGGGCATACTTGGATGATTTTAATAACTAAACAGCATGCCATAATTATTGAAAAACAAAGAAAGCCATAAGTGAATAAGCAAGACTCCAAAGCAAAAATGAGAACATGCCTGATGAGGATGGTTGTTTGTGTGCTAAGGCAGCTCTTTGAAGTGAGTGCTGGTCAACACATCTGGTGTCTATTGAATAAAGCTGTTGTTTGTTGAATTGTCTGCTGTGTGTGTGTGTGTGTGTGTGTGTGTCTGTGTGTGTGTGTGTCTCCATATCACTTGTTAGTACTGGTTGAAAACTTAAGGTTGTACATTGTCAGTTTACAATGTGTATTGTTACTTCATTGTATATTTACTGTGTATACATATACAAACACAAAGGGCTGAGCATCAAGATTCAACTAATCAAAACAAGCAAACATCAAAGAGATCAGCTTTCTTCTTTTTCCCTCGCAGAATACAACTGCAAACCATCAAAGGGGTATCCTGTGGTTCCTAGGTGATGTAAAACAGACTTGCATGTGGTTAACAATTAAAATATTTAGCCATAATTTAAAAAAAAAAATCATGTTCAAAACACATCCAGATACCCTTGAGTTAAGTGGCAAAGGAAGCTGTTAATGTTGTTAAGCAGAATGAGGCAAGATCATAGCAAAGAATTAGGACTGAATTATTGATTTTCACATTATAGTTTATTACAAGGGTTTATAAAATTACCAAGTACATTTAAGAATCACTGTAACAAAAAGGAGGGGAAAACATTCATATTTGAACTAAGTGAAATGTGGATTTGTAAAAAGGAATAAAATATATGTACAAACTCAACAACAAAAGAACAGAACATGTAGTCAAATGACACTCAAAAAAAAACATACCTCGCAAGTGCTTCTGTTTATTAATATTAACTAAATGCAATGATAATGATAACCAAAAATTATAATTATTAAAATAACATAAAACCATATTAACATTTAAACACTGTGTACAATACAGTATAACTGAAATCCATATCATTCTAAATAGAACAGTATTTACCAACAGACTTTACTTATACTAGAACTCTATTCTGAAATATAACAAAAATAGCAGATTTATTACAATAATAATAATAATAATATTAATAGCAATAATATTAGGATATTAGACAATGCAAATATGCTTTACCCATGGCTTTCCAATAGGTGAAATCCTTCTTGCACTCACAACATTTGCTTAGAAATAGCAAAATTTTAGCTGAAGGTATAGCAATCTACTCTCTGTTAGAAAATGGTACACTGAAAGCAGCAGATATCAATTCATCCATCCATTCATTAATTCATTCAAAAAAAAAAAAAAAAGATCAGGGGTATATTTTATCGAAGTAAAG